CTCCCGGTTAGATTAATTATTTACGCCGGTCGACGGAAAGAAATTCCGGATTGTTTGACGCACAAACAAGAGCAGTTGAGGAATCCAATTTTGTCGCCAATTTCGGTGTGCTCTTTGGAGGACAAATGTTGACTCTGTCGGGAAAACTGGGGATGCTTCGTTGCAGCATCAGCAGCAGCAGCGGCTGCGGCGCAGAGGAATAAACCATTCTCCGACGGAGACGTATTTATGATGAACAAATGGGAGAAGATTAACTTCATGCCGGGCAAACAAGGGAAACACGAGCTCGAAAAAGATGGCAAAGGAATGTGTTTGTGTGAAATGAAGTTAGCAAAAAAAAAATTGGAAGATCGAGAGGAATATACAGAAAGAGGAGCGGAAGCGCGGTTGTGTTGACGGAGCTATGCGAAAGACGATCGAGTTATATTCGCGCGGACATTCGTCTCTTCCGTTGATCGGATTTTTTTGTTCCTATCTGGAAATCTTTATTTTTTTTCCACAGAGACCTATTTTTCCTTTTATGGTTCATTTTTTTCGTTCTTTCCTCTTCGGACATCTTCTGCGAGTTCTGATTTCATTGCACAAGCGTGCACAAATAAGCGGAACTGCAGAGAGGACGGAAATCGGAAGTTTGCCCTGCTCGACTGTTTGTAAAAAAACAAAATGAAAAATTGCTCTTCGCATTTCTCTTCGTCGCTGGTGCATACAATTCTCTTTCTCGTTTCCGCAGCTCAAAAGTCAACCCAGCGTTGACACACATTTTTTTTTTTTAGAAGAGCAGTTGGTCTGGAATTTTACTCCCACAGAAAATGCATATAATTACGCCACTCGGTAAAAATTCAAAATTCAGACAGTCTCAAAAGGACTTTTCAAAAACTTGGAAATTCTCGGCTTGGATTAGAAAATCAGAAAGAAAACGTAATTGTGAAACGATGCGATAAGGTTGAAGATGCATGCCAAATGTATAATCGCGAATTCAAAAGCGTAAATTGCACTGCTAAGACGATGATTGAGCAAGACACATTTTGCAATCTTTCTTGGCATTTTGTACAGCGCTGCAGAGCTCTATCGAGTGATCGTATTATTTACTGAAACACGGCTTGGATCATATCTATAAAAAAAGGAAGTCCAATAATAATACAGTGGGCCCCCATCTTACGTCATCAATCTGTTCCAGGATGGACGTCATAACATGGGGCCGTTGTAGGTTGAAACCCTATTTCCCTTAAGATTACATTATAAAAAAATTAATTCGTTCCAGAAAAAAGATATCAAACTAAAATTACCTGTATATTTCTTGACGAATTTTGTGGTTCGAAACAGTTTCCTGAGTTGTATAATTTGCGGGTACCTTTTAACAACGGTAACGATTTTGAGCGATCAACCCAGTGCTGATGCAAGTGTGGTGAATGAAGAATTGTGGACATTTTACGTGACTCCATTTAATATCGTCGTCGATTACTTCCGGCAAATTCCCCGAAGAAAACTTCCTGGTCGTCCCAGCAAAGTTGCTCAACATTATTGTGCGAAATTTATTTGGCGGCAAAGGACGCCGCCACGAAAAAAGAGGGGCCGTTGACTTGAAATTTAATCGGCGCATCTCGGGATGCGCCGAAAAAGACAAGAACAAGAAAAGTTGGCGCCCCAAAAAATCGGGGCAACCGAAAACCGAAAAATCCTGAAAAGGAACAGAATAGAACTAAAAAATAATCCCCGGAACCGGGGCAATTCGAGCTGCTTGTAAAATCTGCGCACTCGTAAAATAAGGGAGACATCTCCCTCAGCAAAAATCCGAAACTCAGGGACAAACGAAAATTATTGCCAGCTGCTGGCGAAAACAAGCAGAAACAGATCCTCTTTCCAAAAACCAATTTATCTCTCAACTGCAAAACTGTCCGAAATTGCTTCGACTCCCTCGGAAAAACCCACTCCTGGGAACAGTATTTTCCTGACAAAATTGCTACGAAATAATTATGTCTCCTTCTACTAAAATTCGAAACTCAGGGACAAACGAAAATTATTGCCAGCTGCTGGCAAAAAACAAGCAGAAACAGATCTTCTTTCCAAAAACCAATTTATCTCTCAACTGCAAAACTGTCCGAAATTGCTTCGACTCCCTCGGAAAAACCCACTCCTGGGAACAGTATTTTCCTGACAAAATTGCTACGAAATAATAAACTGAAACACCCGGTTACCGGAAGAAAACCCATGTACAAGAATTACAAAACAGCACTAAAACCCCCCTTGTCAAACTAATAAAACAACACCCGGCACCGGGAAAAAACATGTTCGAGAAATTTGGAAAAACAGCACTAAAATTCGTTGACAGCTGCCAACATCTGGCAGGTTCGATGACTTTGAAAATCCCAGCACCTGGGTGTTTTCGAAGCAAAAATGCGCGCCAAAACGGGGGGAGGAAATCCGGCACCGGGAAAAAACATGTTCGAGAAATTTGGGAAAACAGCACTAAAAATCGTTGACAGCTGCCAACATCTGGCAGGTTCGTTGACTTTGAAAATCCCAGCACCTGGGTGTTTTCGAAGCAAAAATGCGCGCCAAAACGGGGGGAGGAAAAGTTGCATAAAACCCTCCGAATTTTGCGCAACAAGCACTAGTCGAACTTTGAAGGAGCTGCGGATATTTTTCGTACGAACTTGAAATTCGAAAATCGCGGACTTGTCCAAAAATTCAAGAACTTTTGCGGACTTACAAAATTTCGGGAATTGTGTGAACCCTTTCAAAACTTTGGAACCTGTGAAACTTTTGTAAAATTTTACTGAAGTGTTTTTATAACCTTAACTTCAACTTCCAAAACTATTTTGAGCTTAAAGCATTCAAAAGAGGCGTATTTGCCTTCTTTTCCTTCTTTACACTTGTGAAAAGCTTGGTGTGAATATCATTATTTTTTCCAACCACTGGAACTCCTTGTTGCCTGAATATTTTCAACCGAGTACCAAAGAAAACTTACGCGAATTAATTTTATTGATTCCAATTCTGTCAATATTTTCGGGAACCGTTTGTTGTGTGTGAGTGTATTGTGAATTCCAAGTTTTTTCTGAGCCCAGTCCTGGGAATTGTCATATTCTAAATTTGTGCAATAACTTGAAAGTGTATAATTTTGTTACACTTGTATTAACCTGTGAAGAGAAAAGAAAAGGTCAGCGCTAGTGGGGAAATAGTTCCCCGGTCGGTTCGCGCACCGGCCAAGTACTGTGTTTTAATTCTACTCCTAATTAACAAATTGACAAGGTTTATTTCAGCTGGAAACTGTTTATAGTGTGTGTGTGTGTATTTTGTGTATGCCAAAGTTTTCCTGAGCCCAGTCCTGGGTATTGTTAAAATTCTAAATTCTGCAAAACTTGAAAGTGTATGACATTGTTACACTTGTATTAACCTGTGAAGAGAAAAGAAAAGGTCAGCGCTAGTGGGGAAATAGTTCCCCGGTCGGTTCGCGCACCGGCCAAGTACTGTGTTTTAATTCTACTCCTAATTAATTGTTTGACAAGGTTTATTTCAGCAAACTCCACAAATTCTTTACAGGTGTAAGGCTTGTAAAATTCCAACCACACAAAATAAAACCTTACACCTGTGAAGGAAGAACTGTCATCGGATGAGAGTTTTTTTATTATGTTTCCTTGATTTCTTCAATTTTGACCCCCTTTTTTTAAACCTGGCAATGATTGTTTTTGTGGCACTAAATTGGGGTTTTCCTTCAGAACAAAATGGAGGGGAATTCGTAAGATTTGTACCAGGGAAATTTATGGCACTACCAAAGGGTGGCACTAAATTGAGAGTTGACTGTATATCAAATGATCCATACGAAGGTGGTAATAAGAGGAGGGAAAAATTGAAGCTGAGAATCTTGGTAAAATTCGGTTTGATTTGCTATATTTTACATATCCTGTCGAACGAGATTAACATTTCATTACTAAAGTTTTAAATTTCATATTTATGCTATCATGAATTGCAAAATGCATCCATTCTGACCTAATCTCATATGTTACGACGTTTCTACGTGCTTCATATCGCCTAGCATAAAAATGCATGGATACACCCAAGCCGAAAACAAAGATACTGCATTAATCATCATCGCAACATTTTTCTAATAAGGTATGTGTATTGGATGCATGCGGTTCTTACCAATAAAATAATGTAGAATTCGCAAGACGAACTCACGACGAAAATAGAAGATTGCCCACGAGAGAAATTGCAACAATGTGCGAAACCTGTGAAGGTTCGGAATGTTTGTCCCTCTTCGCTCAGGTCCACATCACAAAATAAAATCATGCGAGAAATTCAATCGTCGAATGAATAGACAGGCTAATTTAAGACTTCAAATTTTTGTGGTGAGCTGCCACAAATTCTTAGAATTGAAGAGTATTCTCGAATTTGAGGAAACGCGTGAAGGCGGATCAATCCATGCTCATCGCAGTCATTTAAAGACGAATCGCTTTCATATATCAGTATGCACATGTTGTTATGTCCTGCCCCACCTATATTGAACCGACAATCAATATATATCAATAATAAAATCATGACTCCAAGTTCGATGAAATTTCGGAAAAATTTTCGGCCGAAGCTTCAACAAGTGAGTCTGGCCTCATCCAAGGTAAGCTGAACAAATCCATTTTTCTTCTTTCACTCGAAGTTAAAATACGGGAGAACACAAATATAGAAGCTGACGCCGTCAATTTCAAGAGCTTAATGTCTTGATCAAGAACCTGAATACCAAGTACATTTGGACAGATAAAAAAGGTATAACTCGAGATTACTGAAATAGTGACTACGAAATATGGCGTCACCGACGTGAAAATACGTAAATGTGCAAAACAAAAATTTACAGTAATTACATCACGGACATGCATTGACACTACTGTATTTAAAAGACTTGGGCATTAGAAAAGTGCATTCCATTTCTGGATGTCCGCATATATAAGACTCGCGTCATAATTTGGGAACACTCTCCTCACATTTAAACAAAGTAAATGTTGATCAGGCGATAAGGATTACAAAAAATATTCTTATATTTTCCATTTCTTACAAATTTGCTCACCGAAATCTGAGCAACACGTAAATCTAACGAAAGCTGGAATGTTCGTTTTCCACCGACAATTGTTCACAACCTTTGTAGTGAGTGGGTTTGAGACTTTTCGCAAGGACGCATCGCAATCCACAGATGGAAACATGAGCAAAACAATTTACCAAAGCTCCACTGAGTTGCACATGGACCGCATATGAATCATTCAAACTTAAAATGTCATCATTTCTGCCATCCAACATCCATGCATAAACTTTCTACAAGCCTCTCATTCCCGGTTCGACATATTCCCTCCAACTCCGTTCATCCCGTCGAAATATTAGCTGCCGGAGTCAATTTCATCACAAGTTACACGCGCTGAAAATTTCGTGCGGACAGATTCAGCTTCTTCAGTCCAACAACCATCCTTATCGTCTGACGGCATTGGTGAGCTCCCCGGTTTCGTTAAAAGAAGTCATACGTTTCTGCGGAAAATGAAAAATAGATGAATATTCATGACAAAGGAAAGAGGGGACCAAAAGTGGGAATTCATACAGTACGATCATTGCGCTTCACGCGGCTAATTAAAAAGTTTTCATTACTGATATTTGATTGGCCGTCCAACCGATATTCATTACTGAAAATCGGTTGGACGACGCTCACGTGAAGTATCCGCATGTCCAAGTTCAGATCGTTGTTCACTTCCAAAAATAACCAACCGGCGTTTCATTGTGCAAGGACAAGCAACTGGAATCACGTAAAAATGTAAGGACATTCATAGGAAAAACACCCATGACACATTTCTTGGAAACTTTTAGAACTCATATTTTGTTTGTCATGAATTGCACATCATCGGAAGAATGGAACAAATCCTCTTCGCTGAGGGTAATTCACTATCTTAAAAATTTACGGAACTCCGAGCATTCACTCAAAATTTCTCAACTGATGCATTGACGAAAGGCCAGATTTTTTCTGCAAACTGCTTTTAACCGAAATCTGCGAAATTATTTAGAACAGTATTCATGAACTCACAGTGATTCGTTCCTTCTCCAAGCAAGCAAATTCTGATTCATCCACATCGTTATAGCAATCACTCCTGTATTTCCGCGGAAGTCTCTTCCCATGAAATTCGCACAATTTGTCCAATGGTCGTGCCTTCACAAACATGGTGTCAATGGTCGTTGGCTTGTCTTGTGGGCAGTAAAAAACATCTGGTGTCTCTTCGATGAATACAATGCTTTTCCTCATCATGTCACCCCCGAGTACAACTCCTACCTGATAAATAAGACAAGCAAAATGAAAATTACTCGCCAGTTTCGAAGGATAAAATATAAACGTCCGAACTTACCAGAGTTGCGAGGAGAACAAATGAATTGAGCCACAGGTACACTGAAAATGAAAAAAAAATTCCAACGAATTTCGATCAGAATTGTATACACTTCAGCTAGGTTCAAAAACTTACTTTTCGTAATGAGAAGCAAGCGCGTACTTCTTATCACCCAGGGTTGATTCACAATTTTTCGGCCTACAAAATAAGGATGGAAAAATTTTGTTAACTCTCACGATCTCTGAACAGTCACTGCTTTCCGTGTGCATCGATGTCCCATACAAACAAGAGGATTTTTCTCCCTACCGCTCAGACACATCATCAACGCATTAAACACCGTTATGAAACTTCGGTGTTCGGATAATTCAGCCGGACATGAATCTAGTGCGGTACCACGTGCATGAAACGAATCTCAATTATCAAAAAATAATGACTCAAAGTCATGTCGACAAGTACACGTTGAAAATCCACAAGAGGGCAATAGGTACACTGTAATTGGTAACGGTTTCGACGATTGATCACGCATCACTGTTTACTTCTCAAGGGCGGTCACGTTATCTGTAGTCGGTCACGTACTACGGTACTACAGAACATCGCCAAAGAGACTATCGCTGTGATTGAATAGAAAGGGAGAGTATTTCATGAGTCGAAGGATTCGCCCCTGGTCTGCACGCGACGTTCTGCAAACGAAGCCGCAGTTCTTGCATCAACAATGCACCTTTTGCACATAGGACACAAGTTGGTCACCGTCAGGCAACGAAACAAGCAGTTCCCATGGAACACGTGATTGCAGGGAGTGACCCTCGCCAGAGATGTCAACGCATCTAGACAAATTGGACACACATCACTCGCAGCCAATTCAGCTCGCGACACTAGCCTGAACGCAGCCAACATCTGCGTTCGTTGCGCCAAAGGTGCAACATAGGTCTCGAACAAGTCTATGGCCGGCACCATGACGTTGGTGTACACTGCAATCATGCAGATGACCGAGTGTCGGTGCCACATGGTGAGGATGAGTACAGTTGACATGACGACAGCGGTGATTTTGGCACCCAGAGGGAGCCACAAGTGTTTGATTTCCTCCGCGTCTTCTCGCACAACGTCGTTGCGAGCGAGGATATCCGGACGCTTTTCCGGATACTGCGTGAAGGCGAAGTAGAGGAGCGTGATGGTGATGAAGGTGAAGTTCGGCTCATGGTCATTGAATTGCATGGTGAACATCATGAGCACCGCAGTTGTGGCGACTGCTTTGCCCAGGCGCACGGCGAGAAACGTCGATGTCATGCGCAGCAAGTCGGTTACTGAACTCGTCTGGAATACTTGGCTCCATTGGCGAGTCTGGCGACATATACAATATATGAGGTAAAAAAAAAATTATGAAAAGACGAGGAAATTTTCGATGAAGCGCTTCTCATTTGTTCTGTCGATGAAGTCTCGTTATGTTCCTCTCAAATACTGAAGTTAAATTCTGTACAGTAATGTTATTCCCCTATACAGTACTGCTGTATATACGCTATAAATCGGCATCATATCATGGGAAATTTTCTATCATAATATTGCATTGTACTGTCTTTTTAAATCATTTTCCTTCAAACCAACAAATCTTGTGCTTCTTTTTTCTTATGAAAAACACTTTATTTCCAATTGTTTTCATTGTGCCGTAAAAGGCTCAACTTTTTTCATCGGATTATGAAAAAAAACTTATGAAAGAAATCATTTGACAAATCTTACCTTGCGAGATTTTGGACCGCATTTGTCCGTGAAAAAATAAAACTGCATCCATCCGTTATTCATGTGTTTTAATCTTTTAACTACCAATTTTATGCATTCTTACTTCAGAAGAGTAAAATGTGACATTTCACATCCTATAAAATTACGGGATTTTTGAATGGATTTTATGGGATAACTAGAATTTCGGCTGTTCACGATACCTCTCCACATTCTAAGATTTTTCAGAGTATTTGCGTGGAAACTACTGTGCAGTATAGAAAATTCATGAAAATATGTTTCAGATAAATCCGAGTAAGAAATTTAAGCTTTTAATGAAGGAACATGTTGATGTTCTTAATTATAAATTGAATATACGTGCAAGGTTTTTTACGCGATCCACATTTTTGCCCGAAATAAGGTTACCGGGCTAGAAAAAATTGAGAAGAGTTTTTGGTGAAAATGTGCAGTATTTATAAATAAGATGTTTCTTAACTTCTATTATAGCAGATTGTTGCTATCGTCGAAACTGCTGGCCTTCAGAGTAAAAAATATTTTTTGTACGAGAAATTAAAAAGGAAAAATAGCGTCAGAATATCTGAATTGAAAATACTGTACTGTAAACAAAAATTATTACATTATCTTGTACAAACACTACTGATTTTGATCTGTTTTTACTGTTGGAGAAGGAGGGATAGCTTCCATAAATATGCAAAATAGAAAAAAAAATTGTATTGTGTAGGGGTAATCTGTAGTGTAATCTCTAACATTGTTTTCATTTTGCCGTAAAAGGCTCAACTTTTTTGATCGGATTATGAAAAAAAACTTTTGAAAGAAATCATTTGACAAATCTTACCTTGAGAGATTTCTTCAAATAAGCCAAGATGGTGTAAAATAACAAAGCGTAGAGGCACGCAAGGCGATCCTTCGGGCAAAAGTATTTTTCTGCTAGCATGAAGAACATCACCTTAAAAAGTGTAAAAAAAAATACAGTATATAGGTAACTGTATTTAATCTCTAGCCTTGACGGTCCTCACCTGATTGCATGTTGTTCTGAACGACTCTAGTTCAAAATAAAATCGTTGGAATCCTAGAAAAAATTCCCATAGAAAGATGAAAATGCACCAAAGTTTTCCAATCGGATCCTTCGTCATCCACTGTAGTGTCGAGCTGTTAAAAACAAAAAGGTATGTTCATAATAAGTGAACAGATCGGTTTTCGCTGGTTTTAATATTTTGCTGTCATAAAAAAACCAGACTCTCAGCGGTTTTATTCAAGAGGATTTGAATAAATGCAGCAACATATTCTGACAAAATAAAGTCTGTCAACAAGGAGTCCAGTACTAAATTAAAAGATGTGATCGAATTTTTGCTTCCGCTAGATGTATAGTACTGTACAAGGTACTTACTGAAGGCTTTGGATTTTTCACTTGTTTATTCGCCTTGCTTTTAGTAAAATTTTGTAAGTCATGTTTTTTTGGTCGAAGATAAAAGATGGAGTTTCCTTACCAAACAACGTTGATAATGGCTTTTAGTCCGTGGAACAAACTTCCGAGGGTTATGTAGCTGAGAAGCAATGGCACAATCAATCCAATGTAGATGAAGAAGGCGCTGAAAAGAACCACGGAATTGAGTTTGTTGGCGAGTAAAGGTAGGAAGAATGTCGCTGCCATGAGACATCCTGTTGGAAAAAATTAAAAATATATTGTACAGGCATTATACAGTAAATATACATCACATGCTTCGAGGATTTTGTTTGTCTGTTGGAATTCATTCATTGATGGCACTGTGTATATAATACTGTATATACTCGTATATATGATGTACCTGCTCGTGCATGTCGATCCTCCCTGGGATCCAAAGCTGCCGCGTATCTGTGTGGATTCAGCACCATGGCCAGAAAAGAAACTAGGGCCCATGAAATAATTTCTTTCCCATATTTTCTTTACTTTTCACATTTTAAGAGTTTGTTCGGCTTTTATGCTCGTAGAATCACATCCGCATTCCATTTAAGGCACTTATCCTGTCGTCATTCTGAAGTCAATAAAAATCCCCACACGTAAAGTACAGTATTTTTTTATGTTTCACACTCCACGAATGCAGTTGTAAGCATTTAATTTCCACTCCTCTTGCTGATCTGCTGCAGTTGAAAAAGCGCCCCCTCACCCGGGGGCCACCCATATGTGCAGCACACGAACCAACTTTACATTAATTGTCTTAGTCCTCGAATTGAAAACACTTTATTGATCAGGAATATTTCAGAACAGGATTCACGAAGAATTGTTCGGATATTCTGCGTGAGGTTTATTGCTCCTCAGAGCATCAGTCTGAAGTTTTGAGGGCAGTTCTGGCATTAATCCAAGAGAGCTCCGAGGGACACATGTGACTGTGTCTTCATGAAAGACGTAAATCGCGATGGTAGAAATTTAGCTCGATACCCTTAACATTTTTTAAGCATGGAAAAACGGTTTGATATTCTGCGCGAAACTTGCTGACGGTATTTACCAATAAAAATTGCATCCAGCAACTTAAATTTCCCGCGCTTAGGATTAGCGACATCTGCAGTAAGTGCTGTGCTACTGTTGGCGTGAGCGTAGCGTTGTCGAATGTTAGATTATTACATGGCGGCTTCGCCGTCATGTTAAATTTCGTTCATTACGGATTGCGTCGGCAAGAGATCAACTAGTATTTCTTGGTGGACAAACCTCCCAGTGGCGTCGATTGAGCGTAAGTTTTTTTTTCAATATCCTGGCATCATTCGATTTTCCAATTTTGCGAGGCTAGAGTCACCATTCGTCGAATCTCCCGTTTCCTTGTGGTGCTAAAGAAACCTCGCAGAGAAACGCTGAACGGTATACGTCAAATTCGACTTCTCGTGCGAATTCAGCTTATCGTCCCCAGCAACAGTTAGAGATTGCAGTTCCTCGTTTTACTCGATGATGTCCTGACGATCAGTTCCTTCCTTCGATTCTAATCATCGGATATTATTGCAGGTTGATACGTAACTAATTTCAACCAATCATGTCGGGAGGTGTAGACGCTCTTCAACTGAAGGAAGAAGATGTCACGAAGTTCCTTGCCTGTGGTGCCCATCTGGGTACTAACAATCTGGATTTCCAGATGGAACAATACGTCTACAAACGTAACTCGCGCGGTGAGATCCTGAGTTGTTCGTGTGGATTCAGGAACATCAAATTTTGGGTGACTTAATTTTTAGGTATTTACATCGTGAATCTGCGCAAAACCTGGGAAAAACTTCTGCTTGCCGCCCGTGCCATCGTTGCGATCGAACACCCGGCTGATGTCTGCGTGATGTCCGCCCGTCCCCACGGACAGCGTGCCGTGTTGAAGTATGCTACATACACTGGAGCAACCCCAATTGCTGGACGTTTTACGCCTGGTGCCTTCACTAATCAGATTCAGGTTAGTTATTCATTTTTTGTTTTCCGAGGCTAGAGTCACCGCTGGTGAGATTGTGCGCCTGCGGTGCTAATGTGACCTCGAAAATGAATTGTGCATCAAATGCGCTGACGGCGACTCGCTGGTGTTGCTATCGGTAACGAGATGTAGGACATGAGTTATTCGAAGCACCAACTGCTTCCTGCATCATGATTGAGTTGAACGATTATTCGTGTTACAGGCAGCCTTCCGTGAACCGCGACTCCTGATCGTCACCGACCCGCGACTAGACCACCAACCGATTTCGGAAGCGTCTTACGTCAATATACCCGTCATCGGTTTTTGCAACTCGGATAGTCCTCTCCGCTTCGTGGATATTGCTATTCCGTGCAATAATAAGAGCACCCATGCGATCGGGTTGATGTGGTGGATGTTGGCTCGCGAGGTTTTGCGTCTTCGTGGAGCTATCTCTCCAAAGGTTCCATGGGAAGTAATGGTGGACTTATTCTTCCATCGTGAAGCAGAGGAGGTTCGTTGAAAATTGATATGATTCCCACGTATATGACTAGATACGAGTTCTATTGGGCGAAGTTCAATACGATTTTTCTGTCATGTTTACTGTTCGAGTTCGTATTGATCAGTTCTTTAGCCAAATGTCCAGAGCTTTTTTTTTCATCTACATGCACTTTAATCTTTTCCGCAGACCGAGAAGGAAGAGCAGAAGGAGGGAGCAGGTCGTGCGATCGAGTCTGCACCGGCTCCTGATTTCAGTGCTCCTGCCGCCGTTGTTACGGATAGCTGGGGAGGAGAGCCTGCTGGTATCACTATGTCTCAGTGGCCTGCTGAGGCTCCAGCTGTGGTTCCTGGCGTTCGTGCTTCTGTTCCAACTACGACCGACTGGGCTGCCGAAGCTGTAAGTACTGTACATGAGAAATTTGCTATCCTCGATCCCCGACGTTATGAGAATTCGGAAAAAATCGTTCAGTTGAGCTATGCTAGCAGTTGTTTGAGAATTAAGAAAGTGCTGTTTTATACGCATCGGTAACACAAGCACCTGTTCGAAATTGCATGGGTATCCTGACAACATTACTCAGTATAATGTTATTCGAGTGTTCGTGACGTATAGGTGAATATCGAGTACTGTATTTTTAAAATTTCTTGAAATGACAGGTGTTCAGATTGGGAATACTAACAGAAATTGACTTTACCTGTTACCTTCAAGCATCGTGAGTTTATTGCTGTTATGTATCTGAGTGAATCGAGTCACAAAAGGTTGAATGAGACGGAAAGGCCTTGTCAACTTAATTGAAGGATTAGGTTTTGTAACTTCCAGTCATCACCTTATCTAGCGCAACAAGTGTACTGTATTGACTTGACATGATTACACTGTTACACTCTCTTAATCTGGGTTTTGTTAGTGATGAACTCTTGACATGAATAATTTCAGGATGACTGGGGTGCAACCACGGTTGCTGCACCGGCTGCTGCTGCTGCTCCGATCGTTGGCGCTGGTGACAGCTGGGGTGGAGGACCAGCGGAAAGATGGAGTTGAACTTTCCAATGTGAAGATGGAATGGTGGCACTGTTGTTGAAGTTCCGGCGGAAATAAAAGCGAAGTGCCCAGAGGAAACGAGGAGTATTTATTTTCGCTTTGTGCAATGATTTTTATTCTGCGTCGTCATCGTTATCTTGGTTGGAAGAGGAACCACGTGCCCTTGGATTTGACCGACGTAGACGTGCGCAATCCGCTCTTAGCTTGCGATACTTTACTTCTGTGAATTGAATCGTCTCGTCGCCGATGGTGCACGTCGTTGAAGTCAGGTCTTCGAACCATCGGAAGTATCGTCTATCTCTGAAGAGCCATAAGTGGGCGCAACAATGCAAGGGATTTTCTGCAACGCAATAATGGAAGCGTCGCGTTTACGATTTAGTTAAAGAGGAAAATTTGTCGCACGTAGTTCTTTTTCCTGATGAACTGAACTCTTGGCTGTTCGAAAGTTGACTACGTAAAATTTAATTTTAGCTTTAGCCTTACCAGAAATCCGCTCTACCCTTCTAGTATAGTGGCTATGAACACTGGGTATACTGGTAGATTTACCCTTAGAAATTACAGTATGCTAATGGCTGATATATCCGAAGGGAGAAGCATATGGAAACGCAGGATTTACTTCTTGATCTGCTCATATGTAGTCCGACCGGAATTCCTCAGGATGGGGATTTCTTGTTGGCGTATTCCTGTTGCATAATTCGTAGAATGAATTAATTCGGAAGAGGGTGTCAGTTATTATCTCGTAACGATTAATGAAAACCCTTTCATGATTTTCCCCATCCTGATCAACCGAGTCGGAGATGTTCTAGCGATGAATGCAATTCCCGACGCACGAAACCGGGTCAGCAGTAGGATGGAGCCAAGATTATTAGAAGTACCCCTGAATCGTGCCGTATTTTAGATTTGTAGTTCCGTCGAATCAATGTGGAAGTACCCCTTGGAGAGAACGGATCTGATGTAATATGAATTTCACAAATAGAAACGAAAATATTGCACCCCTTATCGTAGAGGAACAGGCAAAGCACGAGCACACTTCGTAAAATATATACATGTACTGTATCACGGAGGTTCTGAGGATCTTCATACCTGCAACTGATAACGAGCCTTTTCCGGCCGTTATGAAGGACTGCAGCATAGGCTTGAAGAGGTTTTGTGGAAGTACCGTCAGATTGTTGTTGTTCAGCAGGAATTTCTCCTTCGGAAACCGCCCTGTGTGTGAAAATGTGCCTTGAATAATCACGAAAAATTGAGCTTACAGTGCCCAATCAACCTGGTGTCAAGGCGTTGACGTCGATCTCCGTGATTTCGTTGTAGTGCAGTATCAAATAATCAACTTGTGCCTCCTCGGCGAACTCGAGAGAACCCGCTACGAGGTTTCGCATGTAGCCTGATTCGCAAGCGAGTATGCGAAGGTGCTTCAGCGTCGCCAACGCGCTGGCCGGCATTGTTCTCAGAACGTTTCCTCCTAGGTACAAATCTTGCAACTGGGGTACCGACCTGAATGCGTCCTCTGGAAGCTCTTCAAACAAGTTCCCCCCGAGGAAAAGAAGCCTGTCAAACACCGAGACGAAATGTTGCGGAGACGATGGTTCGCATCGATGGAATCCTGTGATATACTTCACTTGTGTGCATGCTGTTGCGGGTGTTCTCTCCCCAGGAATAATTCTTACTGCTATTAATCCTGATTGCTCTCGTAATATGCACACCTTTTTTAGAAACGAGAAAAGCTGGTTTGACGCACCGCATCAAACATATACTTTACTATATACCAACTTCGATTAAAACTTAGGGTACTGTGTGGTTCCAAGCATACAGAGTACTTCAAGAAGTGCAACTGTCCGTATATTTTGTTGAAAGTTCTGCCCGAAATATGGGCTGGGGACGAGATCTGGTCTGCAGAGACTCTTCATCCATCCTGCAGTCCCTTCCCTTTACTTTTCAAGGTGGCAGCTGCCACTATTTAGAATATGAATAGATAGATTAATTAAAAATGTTGCTCCACCCTTTTCAATTCTTCAAGTCTATGCTTATGATTCAATGCATAGCACTGACATTTTAAGCTTGTCAGAAAACGTGGAGCCTCCAAAATTACTGTCTATTGTAGTGTGCAAGGACTCCACCTCTGCAATGTGGCCCTCGGCCACAAAAAAATGTATTACTGTGGCCCTTGACCGCGTATGAGGTGGACAGCACTGGCTTCCACAGGGTGTGACAGAAAATACGGAACCATTTTGAATGTCATCAGAAGTGTCGGACGTATCAACTGGAAAAAATATCGTAACCTACAAATTAAATCTAATTTGTGGTTCCAGCTTAATTTGAATGACTTGGAATTAATGCTGTAGATTTTGAGAATTCTGAAAGAGAAGCTGGGCTGCATGAAAAAAATCTGCGAGATGGGCGCCTCATCTTCTGACTGAAAAGCAAAAAGCTGCCCAAGTGACTTTTCACCAAAAATTTCCGCGAAATAAGTCAAAAGGGGCGAACAAAATCGTGTAAATTCCTTTGCCGAAGAATGTTTTTCTGAACATGATCTTTTTTTGTCTCAGTCTGATGCTGTTCCAATTTTTATTCCGAGAACTCTAGTTATTTAGAGCCATTTTACGAGTTCATCATGTTAGAAAGTCATGGAATCGTCTCGAAGAATTTATTTGAATCACTTGTCACTGCGTAATCCGATTGTTTTCATTCTTATCACGCTCCGGGAGTACGTATTATCCGTTAGCGCGCAAGTGTGTGCTAGAAAACATGTTTTCGCCCGGATTATGCTCACCGTAAATTCGGATACTGCAGTCTCGGGAATCTGTCGAACTTGTTGTCATACAAGATGAGCGTATCCAAGTTGGGCATCTCCAGTTCGAATGGGAATCTCTTCATCCATCCTGCAGTCCCTTCCCTTTACTTTTCAAGGTGGCAGCTGCCACTATTTAGAATATGAATAGATAGATTAATTAAAAATGTTGCTCCACCCTTTTCAATTCTTCAAGTCTATGCTTTTGATTCAATGCATAGCACTGACATTTTAAGCTTGTCTGAAAACGTGGAGCCTCCAAAATTACTGTCTATTGTAGTGTGCAAGGACTCCACTTCTGCAATGTGGCCCTCGGCCACAAACGAATTTATTACTGTGGCCCTTGACCGCGTATGAGGTGGCTTCCACTGGGTGTGACAGAAAATACGGAACCATTTTGAATGTCATCAGAAGTGTTAGAGGTATCAACTGGAAAAAATATCGTAAGCTTCAAATTAAATCTAATTTATGGTTCCAGCTTAATTTGAATGACTTGGAATTAATGCTGTATATTTTGAGAATTCTGGAAGAGAAGCTGGGCTGCATGAAAAAATCTGCGAAATGAGCGCCTCATCTTCTGACTGAAGAGCAAAAAGCTGCCCGAGTGACTTTTCACCAAAAAATTCCGCAAAATAAGTCAAAAGGGGCAAACAAAATCGTATAAATTCCTTTGCCGAAGAATGTTTTTCTGAACATGATTTTTTTTGTCTCAATCTGATGCTGTTCCAATTTTTATTCCGAGAACTCTAGTTATTCAGAGCCATTTTACGAGTTCATCATGTTAGAAAGGCATGAAATCGTCTCGAAGAATTTATTTGAATCACTGTCACCGCGTAATCCGATTGTTTTCATTCTTATCACGCTCCGGGAGTACGTATTATCCGTTAGCGCGCAAGTGTGTGCCAGAAAACATGTTTTCGCCCGGATTATGCTCACCGTAAATTCGGATACTGCAGTCTCGGGAATCTGTCGAACTTGTTGTCATACAAGATGAGCGTATCCAAGTTGGGCATCTCCAGTTCGAATGGGAAGCTGACCAAGTTATTGCTCATGAAGCGGATGTCCCTGAGATACTGTGACGTAGACCTCAATGCAGCCTCGGATATCTTCTCGAGTCCACACTCGTAAATATCAATTCGTTCTATCCTGTGATTTCCGAAAAACCCGTCGGGCAGTTCTGTCCACGAGCAGTTCGTGGCCAGAAAGTCCCAAGTCACGTTCTCATCTTCGCTTATCTCTTGTAGCACGGATTTCGCGTCTTCCACTGAAACCCCGCTGCAGTCAAGCTTGAGTTTGTCGCCTGCCTCGGACAAGTTTTCGCAAAGACATGCATTGAGGGTCCCCGGGCAGTTGAGAGCATAAGAGATCCGAAGGAGTGTCACGTAGAACAGGATGGTCAGCCTGACCTTAGCACCTTTCAGAATGTAAAAGACCAACGACTTCTGTCTGCTACATATTACGCCTATTCCCTAATATGAGTGACCTAGGTAGTACGGCTACTGTCCGACGTTCTTGGTGCTCTCTTCCCCCGAAAAATGCGCGGAAATGAGCTGACCTAGATGCGGTATTTCTTATGTTTTCTTCGCGAAAAATAGCACGCGAAAGGCAATGGAAAAAGGCTCTATGTGAAACGCGCATACTACAGTGCAAATCACGAGAAAACGAGTGTGTGTAGGTATTTTTGTTTAGTTTTAGATTCTATTCCCCGAGGATCAAGATTCGTTTCGGTACCCAATAAGTTGAAAAATTTCCTTAACTAGAATGCTCTTTCGAGTTCATATTCCGTTTAAAGAAATGTTACATGAACCTCCTCAAGTCGAAATTTTTGAAGACAAGGACATGGAAATTTAAAGAGTAATGCTTCTATAGAAAGGAGAAAAAAGCAACTTTAACTGGTACATAAAATCCAGGGTTGAGGTTATGAATCCTTTACACTCATGTTTAATGCAGTTTCCTGTGTTCAGCCTTTTGTATTTGGTGGGAATCAGTACGGAAATGCTTTTAGGCACACCAAACACAGTTGCAATATCAATTTCAGCCCCAATTACTTCTTTCAAAATTTAAAGCAAGCATTATCAAACTTGGTTTCCCTACCCTCTCTAACTCAAAACCTCTCCAAGTTGAATTTTTGTTGGTCCCTTCAAATTTGACTCGGAGAGGCCCAATTGTAATTTACTTAGTTCCCCGGGTTTCCACAGGGTTTACATCTTTTACAATAACTTGTTCACGCTTATTTTTTTATTATTTTTTGCCGGATGTTGCCGACATACCGCTGGGTAAAAAACTGCAAATAATAAATATTCGACCATCCTTGTAGAGGTGAACTCGGATTATTCATGCCAACAACTTGGTGCATTTACCTGGATTATCAACTATTAAAAATGATTGGAGATATGTAAAGCATGTACAGTGCTGTATACGAATTAAAAAACGATAAATCTCAGTAAAACTTGAAAATTTATAGAGGTAAATGGAAGCGACTCAAATTCTAATCATAAAACTTGCATTATTACATTTGAATAAATCAAACTTGGGAACACTTAATGAAATCCAGAATAAATGGAACTATAGTACAGACCTTCGCTTTTTGGAGACATGAATGACAAACATTTGCTCCGAGAAACCAGAATGATGGAATATTTGTGTACTGTACTGAGAATTCATGATTAAAAAAATAATTGCACATGCCAATAAGTGGTTTTCATTTCAAACCGCCATCAGAAATCACTGCCTATTATTGTATATTGAAGACAAAATTTGAAATACATTCTATATTCAATATAGTTATGTAATTTTCAGAGGAGAACTTCGTTCAATTATTCATTGGAAGCATTTACAGCATAACATTGATGTACACCGGTACACGGAAAGAATGCGAGAGAGATACTTTCAGGATCTGAGTTTTCCACTCAATGCTCACTCTTTTATTTTGACGGGAAGTGAGTCTGTCATCCATTTTTAAAACATCCAAGGCACTGCATGGAATTATGAAAATGTTTCATTTTTCGACTACTTTCCATCTGAGCAACCGTGAGAATGCTGCAGATTTAAAATGCTGTACTGCCCTGGTTTACTGTTCATCAAAATTCAGGGGAAAATATTTTCGTGGGAAAGTTCATGCGCAGCGACACGAGTTTCTTTTTTCGGTAATGAATTATGTGAATGCTCGTATCTTCGCACCATAACACCGCCAATGTTCTTCGCTGAACATAACCACGAGACTACGCGTAAATAACTCCGAGATATCTTCTGTGGCGTCACGTACTGTATTTCACTGAACATAGCTCGCAAATAAGGTTGCTCATAAACCTACTCTCACTCACGTCCTGCATTACGACCTTCTCCATCGAAATTCCCGGGCAATAAACGTGATAGTAACACTGAGGATGATTTGCGTGAAGCGCAGTTGTTGAGCTCGGAGCCCGTAAGCGAAGCTTCGTCACTATCGTATCTCCTTGGAGAATGCTTCTTCTCTCTTCTTGATGCAAGCATAAACAATCTGAAGGGACCAACAACCTCGAGGCCCGAAATCCGACTCCCTTCCTGATGTGTGCTTGCGTTCCCTATGGCCGCATATGCTGCAAAATTATACTTGATATATGTGATCAGTTTGAACGTGTCTGCCCAACTGATCGCCAACTACAACTCGTATATTCCACCTGACGGGAGAACTTAGGGTGGGGAGATCTTTGTGTACACTGCATATTGATGATACAGGCAAACTCTCTCTACAACAAAATCCAAGGGGATGAAGTAAAAATTTTTTGTACAGGAAGCTCAATAATATATGTGTCACGAGGCCCCTATAAATAGGACAAGAAATCCCTTTGGGCAGGTTTATGGACTCTCTCCACCAACAACAATGCAGACGACCAGAAAAAAAAGATCGTTGTACATATAGAGAGAATTTTGTTGCCGTATTATCCATGGGCAACAAAATTGTTGTAAAGAGAGTCCAGGGCTTTGCAGAGAAAAACTCCGTTGACAAAATTATTGTGGAGAAGGCCTACCTTTATTGTAAAGGGGTTTGCTTACTGGCCTAATTATTGGTAGTGCTTGCTGGCCCTTTGAACCCTGTGTGCAGTTGCATATACGGTATTTCACCATCTGTGCTGCTCCAATGAAAATTCGTTTTCTCGCAGAATGTACTGTATAGTATTTGATTTCTGGAGACTGACACCTAATATTAAAAGTAGTGAAGATTTTTAGCTTCCAAGAGAATGTGGAAATCAACAGTCTCGTTTATACGCGTCTGCTTTGCGATATTGTGGTTGGAATTTAAATACTGTACGAACTTTTAGGTTAACCAGGTGCCAGCTCATTTTCAGCAGATAAGTTGCTCGTTGTCACGTAACTGCGCTCTGGAATCGTGGAAAGTCTTACATTTTCTGGTTGCTGAAGACAGACGATGTATAATGCGGATAAGGGATTATACTCACTGGATCCATCATGCCGATGACAGGCTGCAAGAACCACGAGAGAAGGGGGAAAAATGCGCGGAAATGAGCTGACCTAGATGCGGTATTTTTTACGTTCTCTTCGCGAAAAATAGCACGCGAAAGGCAATGGAAAAAGGCTCTCATGTGAAACGCGCATACTACAGTGCAAATCACGAGAAAACGAGTGTGTGAAGGTATTTTTGTTTAGTTTTAGATTCTATACCCCGAGGATCAAGATTCGTTTCGGTACCCAATAAGTTAAAAATTTCCTTAGATAGAATGCTCTTTCGAGTTCATATTCCCTTTAAAAAAATGTAGCATGAACCTCATCCTCAAGTCGAAATTTTTGAAGACAAGGACATGGAAATTTAAAGGGTAATGCTTCTAGGAAGGAAAAAAAAGAAACTTTAACTGGTACACAAAATCCAGGCTTGAGGTTATGAATCCTGTACACTCATGTTTAATGCAGTTTCCTGTGTTCAGCCTTTTGTATTTGGTGGGAATCAGTACGGAAATGCTTTTAGACACACTACACACAGTTGCAATAACAATTTCAGCCCCAATTACTTCTTTCAAAATTTAAAGCAAGCATTATCAAACTTGGTTTCCCTACCCTCTCTAACTCAAAACCTCTCCAAGTTGAATTTTTGTTGGTCCCTTCAAATTTGACTAGGAGAGGCCCAATTGTATTTTGCTCAGTCCCCTGGGCTTCCACAGGGTTTAAATCTTTCACAATAACTTGTTACGCTTATTTTTTTTTTTGACGGCGGATGTTGCCGACATAGCGCTGGGTAAAAAACTGCAATTAATAAATATTCGACCATCCTTGTAGAGGAGAACTCGGATTATTCATGCCAACAACTTGGTGCATTTACCTGGGTTATGAACCATTAAAAAAATGATAGGAGATACGTAAAGCATGTACAGTATACGAATTAAAAAACAAGAAATCTCAGTAAAAATTGAAAATTTATTGAGGTAAATGGAAGCGACTCAAATTCTAATCATAAAACTTGCATTATTACATTTGAATAAATCAAAATTGGGAACAGTTAATGAAATCCAGAATAAATGGAACTACAGTACAGACCTTGGCTTTTTGGAGACATGAATGACAAACATTTGCTCCGAGAAACCAGAATGATGGAATATTTGTGTACTGTACTGAGAATTCATGATTAAAAAAATGATTGCACATGCCAATAAGTGGTTTTCATTTCAAACCGCCATCAGATCACTGCCTATTACTGAAGACAAAATTTGAAATACATTCTATATTCAATATAGTGATGTAATTTTCTGAGGAGAAACTCGTTCAATTATTCATTGGAAGCATTTCCAGCATAACATTGATGTACATGGAAATAATGCGAGAGAGATACTTTCAGGAATTGAGTTTTCCACTCAATGCTCCCTCTTTTATTTTGACGCGAAGTGAGTCTGTCATCCAATTTTAAAATATCCAAGACACTGCATGAAAATTTTTCTTTTTTCGACTACTTTCCATCAGAGCAACCTTGAGAATGCTGCAGATTTAAAATGCTGTACTGCTGCCCTGCTATAGCTGTTCATCGAAATTTAGGGGAAAGTTCATGCGCAGCGACACGAGTTTCTTTTTTCGGTAATGAATTGCTGTATGTGAATGTTCGTATATCCGCACCATAACACCGCCGATGTTCTTCGCTGAACATAACCACAAGACTACGTATAAATAACTACGAGACATCTTCTGTGGCGTCACGTACTGCTGTATATCACTGAACATAGCTCGCAAATAAGGTTGCTCAGGAATCTACACTCACTCACGTCCTGCATTACGACCTTCTCCATCGAAATTCCTGGGCAATAAACGTTATAGTAACACTGAGGATGATTTGCGTGAAGCGCAGTTGTTCAGCTCGGAGCCCGTAAGCGAAGCTTCGTCACTATCGTATCTCCTTGGAGAATGCTTCTTCTCTCTTCTTGATGCAAGCATAAACAATCTGAAGGGACCAACAACCTCGAAGCCCGAAATCCGACTCCCTTCCTGATGTGTGCTTGCGTTCCCTATGGCCACATATGCTGCAAAATTATACTTGATATATGTGATCAGTTTGAACGTGTCTGCCCAACTGATCGCCAACTACAACTCGTATATTCCACCTGACGGGAGAACTTAGGGTGGGGAGATCTTTGTGTACACTGCGTATTGATGATACAGGCAAACTCTCTCTACAACGAAATCCAAGGGGATGAAGTAAAAATTTTTTGTACAGGAAGCTCAATAATATATGTGTCACGAGGCCCCTATAAATAGGACAAGAAATCCCTTTGGGCAGGTTTATGGACTCTCTCCACCAACACAGTCCAGACGACCAGAAAAATATCGTTGTACATATAGAGAGAATCTTGTTGCTGTATTATACATGGGAAACAAAATTGTTGTAAAAAGAGTCCAGGGCTTTGCTGAGAAAAACTCCGTTGACAAAATTATTGTGGAGAAGGTCTACCTTTATTGTAAAGGGGTTTGCTTACTGACCTAATTATTGGTAGAGCTTGCTGGCCCTTTGAACCCTGTGTACAGTTGCATATACGGTATTTCACCATCTGTGCTGCTCCAATGAAAATTCTATTTCTCGCAGAATGTATAGTATTTGATTTCTGGAGCATGACACCTAATATTAAAAGTAGTGAAGATTTTTAGCTTTCAAGAGAATGTGGAAATCAGGTCAGAGCAAATATGCGCAGACGAAACGCTATAACACCAACCTTAAATTTATGACATGCTTGAAAATCCAATTGGTCCACGGTCGAGTAAAAGTCGTCTATTCAACGAGCAACAGTGCATTGACGCGTTATAGTATTCAGTACCCTGAATCCCATGGTAAAAGAAAACAGTGCAGTTACGTATATACACTGTACTGTTGTAAACAGAGGCTGCATTTTGAAACACCCGTGCTCCAGAAAAGCTAAAATTATTATCTTCATACTTCATCCCGAAGGATTTTGTCAACTCGTCTTGGTTCTCAGGAAAAGTTTAGGTCTATTTGACAAATGGAAACTAAGAACACGCACCAGTTTTTCAAGAGTGGGAGCAGTAGACATAATGATGCAAAATTTATCTCTTGATTCGTATTCGGAAGATAATTTATGATGATCAAGTCATTGATGATCTTTCCGCGGGAAAACACATGGCAACCCACCGAAAAATAAATTTTCTGAAACCAACTGCGTAAGCAGAAAACAGTTTGAAAATAGTGAACATTTTTAAATCATTGAATTTTTATTGCATTGTTTCAATTACCTTTCTGATACCTATCTGACATTTTATTATTTAATATGGGGAATCTAAGAATTATCTGCTGAAGAAATGCCTGAAAAGCACCAGGAGTGGAAACGAACCAGAATCTGGATGCAATAACTATTATTCTGTCAAAAAATACCATATGATATAATTTCTTATCCTGATGAGCACAAAAATATTTTCCTCCCCAGCATTTCGCGCCATGCGCTACATCAAAGATAACATAATTACCGTCTGCAACTGTTATATTGAATAAACTTCTTTTAGCTTTCTTGTTCAACATCATTTCTGATTAAACTTCTATACACGAACTAAAAATTTCGGAACTCTTTCCAGCCTAATTGTATGGATTTTCCCACTTACAGGATGTGACTGCTGCCATGATGTATCACTGCTTGGGGTAATGTACTGCATGTACAGTATTTATACAGACGCCAGATTCAGACGTAATTACAGTGCCACAGGCGGTAATTCCTTCTCCGACTGTGTGTCCATATGATGGAATGTCGGAATAATGTTGGAACTCATTTTCGAATAGGCTTGCTTTGGTAAATGTTTTATCGCTTTTCATTAAAAAAAAAGTTGTTTAAAAAATTACTACTTCAAGATGTAAAAAGTATTTGTGCAAAAGAAGACTTCTTTTATAGATCCTTTTTTATCCGAACCTACCGCATACCAGAGCATAATATTCATTGCTCATCATATTGCATGGATGATTAGGTAGCTTTTCAGAATTACTGTATATATGCTTCGTGCTGATGACGAAGCAT